GTTTAATCAAAGATGGACTGAATCAAAGATTGATTAATCTAAGTTGGACTTATGCATTCACTTAAAACCAGACCTTCACATGATTTGCAAACATCCAGCCAAAATGGGGTTTTGGAAGAAGTAGTCCAAAAAACAGAACATTTCCAAACTCCAAGGAAACATTTTCCAGAAGGAAGGACCTGTCTTGCCACACAACCCACCAATCAGGCCTTTTTTATTGATGGACTGGAGAGAAGAGCTTCAGAAGATTATCAGGTTGCCAACCTGAGATGCCAGATACTACTAGAATTACCTCTGCCACAAGATCAGTATAGTATTGCTTATTTGCATGTTGAGGTAGCTACCTATTACATCTTCTTTTAAGATTTTTTTATTTGATTTATGCCCTGCCCCATGGCTACTTTCAACATAACTTTTTTTAAAAATCTACCACTAAACACATGATAAAGCATACGTATTAAAACACAAATAATCTGTCATAAAACACAAAAGGTTTTAAACTCCTGAATAAAATAGTAAAAATCTAACAACTATTTAAAATCTATGTTCATTTTCATTCATCAGTTGTTGAAGGCTGGCCTGAATACAAAAGTCTTTTGCCTGTTGGCAGAAGGAAAACAAGGAAGCTTCTGCTTGTTGTCTTCTAGCCTTGGTTGGATGGGATATACTTCAACATCTCATAGACGAAAGTCAAGATATGTGCAGCCAAGCAAAATGTGCAGTCAGGATTATAAAAGTTGATTATTGGGAAGAATACCCAAGGCAGGAGAGGCCGCGGCAGTTTGATTTGGCCTGCTGAAGTTAGGCCCCAAACGTGGGACCTGTATTGCTTTTAACATGAGGCGTCCAAACGGTGCCTCGGGTAAAAGCGAATTAATGTAGAGGAAATTGGGTTTTTCCCGTTTACTGGAAAGATACAGACCTTAAGGTGAGGTCTGTATCTTTCCAGATGTGGGCCCTGTGGGGATTGACTCCTGGGACAGCTTCTGCAATCCTGAGGGTCAAACCCCATAGCCACCTCAGTTCTTTGGGCTCCTGGAGCCATGGAGCAGGAGGACACTCAACCCCTCCCCTCCAGCCCCCCATTTCCCCTTCCAAAAACAGCTTATCAGAGAGGGGCTTCAGGCTGTGGAGGCCCCTCTGTACAGGTCTACTGACATGAGAAAATACATGTCAGAAGGTGAGGGGAATAGGGGGGATTTCCCTCCTCCACTTCACCTCCTGTGCTGACTGCAGGCCCCTCTGGAAAGTTGGGGGGAGGGTAAATGGGGGGCTTGACCCAAGTTTGACCCAAGATGCCATCTAGCTACCCCCCACAGGAAAGCCAGGGTTTGGGTTGGGGGTGGGGAGTGAAACCTGAGAGAAAGCAGATTATTTTAACCCGCTTCCTCATGGGTTTGGGGTTAGTGTAGAAGAGCCCTGAGAAGGGCAAACCGGTCTCCCTTCTCCCCATTGATTTGAGTGCAGAGTACTTTAGGATAAGCAGGTACAGTGAGAAGAGGAGAGAGAAACTACAATATTTTGAAAACATTTGATAAAGTGGAATAAGAGACTTAACTGAGAAGGTCCCTGCCAAATAGAGTCACTGCCAAATACTTTTAGGCCTGCTTCAGATATCACGCTAAAGGAAGTCACAAGCAATTTTGAAACTAACAAATCCACAAATGGGATAGAATGGCTGTATCCTCTGAAGGCTGCAATTATCCTTTGGGAGCAAGCAGCGAGGCAGCTTTCACTTCTACTTTGTTCATTTCCTATGCTAATCCATGCCTTAGGATCAAGTGCCATTAAAAAAAATGATCCATGTATGTGCCTTGTTCTCTTCTCTCTTGTGACACAAGCGAGGAAGAAACGAAAGCAGGAAGTTTCCCTATTTTTGCTTAGAGTGACCACAGTTTATCACTGTATCTCAGCCTGGATTTATCTTGGCTTAGAATTTAAAACAAGCCAAGATACAAAACCACAGCTTGATCTAGGCTTTTCCCAGTAAAGCAGGGATGGAAAATGTTGACAGACCGCAACTCCCCTAGCCTTTCTCAGTGTTGTTGGGTAGAGGTCAAAGCTGTCTAACATAGCCTTCTTCTGAATGTAAATTAATGTATGCTCTTATTAGATGCAGTATGTGATGTCCTCCTTGCAACTATGTTAGGTGATAAAACATTTTCATGCCAACACTTAGCCTAAGTAGAACATTACCCACAAATAAAAAATATCCCCATTCTGCATACTGCTTACAAAACAATCCCATTTTTGAGACCTAACCATTCTAGCTGTTCTACTCTCCTCCTTTTATTCTCCAAAGTAATGAGCAACCTTAACCTCAACTTAGAAACCTTAGAGTGCAAACATCTGCCAAAGCCAGTAAAACAAGCAACAGTGCTTTCTCACCAAATCTTTAGCGGTACCATGAGCCACTTCAGGGTGTTTGGGCAATTTTGGAAACCTTTTGCCAATTTATGAGATCCAAAACAGTGGAAAACAGCTTAGAAAGCACGTTTTTCAAGTGTTAAAAAATCTATCAAGAAGAATCCATCCTGACTAAAAATAAATGCAGTTTGGAATGTATTCTATGCAATCTTGTCATGTGGTTTTTGCAAAAATAGTATTTCTGCACAGAAATATTTCCTACTGTGCTGTTTCCTTCACAGAAAATGCTGAAACTAGGGACTTATTCGACACAAAAATTCACACATGTTGATTAGCACAAAACTGCATTTTCCACACAGGAAACTTTTTTTCTGCATGGGAAATATCTTTTCTGCATGTAAACACTCATTTCTGTGCAAAAAAATGTATACAAACCAAACAAATGCAAATTTTGTGCAGAATAATTCTTGAATTGTGAACAGGCTTTAACAATTGTGGTTTGGTTACAGAAGGTAAAATATTCTAATTATTTATTGGTTTCTTTGAGAAGAACATTAAGTAATTATTCCCCTAATAAATGACAATGACAAGACTATTCTATTAGGTATGTGTAAAAAATTTGGAAGTGTTGGAAATGGTAAGAAAATCAGAAGTTTTGTAAGTTTGAAGCCATGTCCAAAGCCTTTGTATGGCCCACACCAAATATTTTAGAATCAAAACTTACCCGAAACTTTTTCATTTTAGTTTTGTAAATCTCAGAAGGCTCTTAAAGTCAGTTTCATATTCAGTTCAAGGAAGCAAAACCATTAAGCCAAAAAGGCTGCCTGAATGCTTCCCTGAAATTAATGGAGTCTGAAAATTAGGAGCCATAAAAAGAGGGAGAAATGAATTTTGGGAACAGCATAGAACTCTGGGAAATGTAGTTTGGGAAGGGCCCTATGCCAGTGGTTCTCAACCTGGGGTCCCCATATGTTTTTGGCCTACAATTCCCAGAAATCCCAGCCAATTTACCAGCTGTTGGGATTTCTGGGAGTTGAAGGCCAAAAACATCTGGGGACCCCAGGTTGAGAACCACTGCCCTATGCCAAAGAATTCAAAAGGCTCCGCCCTAAACTACATTTCCCAGTATGCATCAGCATCACAAAGCCCCAATTAGGAGAGGAGATTGATCTGTAGCCAGCCACAGTTCAAATACATTTGTTAATATTATGCACCATGATTTCTGTTCCTGGTTTATAAATGGCAGTACCTAATTGGTTCTGTCGTAAAAACATGGCAAAAGTTTATTACACTGCAAAAACACTGTCTTTGCACAAGGGACATCATCCTATAGCACATTTTGCTTTGTTGAGTCTCCACCAATTTAACAAAGTTTCTACCACAAAAACAATGTTTCTGGAATAGAAAAACTACGTTCAAAATAACGACTGCAGAATTAAATAAGAAATAACACTTTGAAACTAGGAACAAATTTTCTTTATTATTAAAAAAGTTGTTTATAACAAATATGAAAAGTCATCAAAACTCTGTGGATAAATGAAATGATCTGAAATTTGATGGGCTAACAGTGGTAAATGTGTTCTACTACTGTAGCAAGTTTCACCCCAATAGGGAGCGAGGGAGATAGGAGCCCCTGAAGTTTCCCCAATTATAGCAATTTAATTATTAGCAATTACTGTAATGAAATAGTAACGAAATTTTGTTAGTGACATTATAGTAACAAACTTTTCATTAAGTATACTTTAGAAACAATTTAGAAATGAAGTGCCAGAGCCCCCTAGTTTTATAATGACATTTGAACAATTTTAATGGATTCAATAGTATCTATCTATCTAAATAGTTATAACCACCCTACCTTGTATGATCTATATCATAACTCTTACAACATATGCCACAAAGTAAAATTAATTTAAATTAAAAATTAAAAATCAATTGAGAAAAAATAGCAAGGCAATAGCATTGTGCGGGGTCTCAAATTTGTTTTAATTTGTGCTATTTTTTAAAGTACCCAGATAGCTTTAGTGATGGGTTGTTTTAGGTTTTTCAGGCTGTATGGCCATGTTCTAGAAGCATTCTCTCCTGACGTTTCTCCTGCATCTATGGCAGGCACCCTCAGAGGTTGTGAGGTCTGTTGGAAACTAGGAAAATTGGGTTTATATATCTGTGGAAAGTCCAGGATGGGAGAAAGAACTCTTGTCTGTTGGAGGTAGGTGTGAATATTTCAATTGGCCACTTTGATTAGTATTTGATGACCTGACAGTTTTAGTGATGCCATTTTCCTTCCACTGAGTGTGAACCAGGCTGCAGTCAGACTCTTTTTAGCAAATCTAAGCATCCCAAGGATAATTTTAGATTCTTAAACTTCTATTTGTGTGACTCCATGCACCATATATCATATCTTACTGTTAATGTGTGGGAGAGTCTATTACAATAGGTCTGATTAGAAGACTCTGAGGTAGGATGTTCTGCCTTTCTTTATGAAGAGGAAGCAGAGTGTGGCTGTTTAATTATAATATAAAACCGTAAGAAATAATTTAAACAGATTAAAGCATAAAACATATGACAAATAAAAAAACAACTGGAATTGGTTAAAACAGGTTTAAATAATTTAACTGTTTTCAAAAATGATTTACCTGTTTCATAAACAGCTTCAGATACTGAAGTATAGTAGTCCTCTACTGTATATTGTGCCAATCGAAGGGTATCCAAACCACTTACGGAGTCATTCCCTCTTGTCCAGTAAAACATGACATCATTAATGTTATAACCCCCTATATTTGGGAAGAATGAAAGAAAGAGAAATACTACTTAGTGTGGAAAACTGGTTAGGTGTGTCCAGATAATATGCCTTCAATTGATATATACTGACAAAGTTCAATTTACTACCTTTGGCTTAGCCTGAAAAATTCAAGATTTGGACTGCAGTCGATGTTTGATAATTGTGGGAAGGAAGAGATTAAGAGGCAAGTCTAAGACAAAGTATATCATGATTTATAGAGTTGCATAACAGATTCTTATCACTAGAGGCCCTCCCATGTTTTTTGTCTGTTTACTATTTTGCACTTGGATATATATGGTAATGTCCTGTTAGCCACATAGCTCGAAGATGAAGATCATCTGGGGAGGTCCTGCCCTCAGTCCCATCTGCTTTGCAGGCGTGTTTGGTGGGGATGAGAGACAGGGCCTCCTCAGTGGTGGCCTGTCAGCTATGGAACTCCCTCCCCAGTGAAATCAGATCAGCCCCTTTTCTCCTGACCTTCAGGAAAAAACTTAAGTTGTGGGTTTGGGACGAAAGCTTTGGACAAGTAATTGGAGCAGTGCAATAAGTGACTACGAAACAATGTGACTGACAACAGCCTTGGATTATGTTTTGGTTGGTGTGATTTTGTTGAGTTTAATAATAGTGGTTTTAATTGTTTGGTTTTAATAGTTTATTTGATATATGTGTGTATGGCATCAAATTACTGCCTGTTGTAAGGTTGCCTTGAGTCCCCTCCAGGGTGAGAAAGGCAGGATACAAATATGGTAAATAAAAATAAATAACATAAGAAATATCTAGGTGAAAGTGTGGTTGAGGCACACATATGACTCCCTTGTTTTGGATGGAATATGGGAAAATATTCTCTAGCCCAGGACTTGCAAACTACAAAAGGCCAGGGGCACACATTACTTACTGGCTTACAGAATTTTTAAATATATACTAGACCATCTTACCAGGGTGCATTTGGGTCTCCCCAGCTGGGTGGAGAAAATCAGACAAGCAATGAATTCAAAGCAGGACTGAATTCATTGGCTGGTGGTTACTAACAGTTTGAAGTGTGCTCCTGTGTTCCAAAGTCCTTCAAAAATAGGACACTACAATCTGCCCTGACTTCTGCTGGGCATCATGTAAATATTCACTAGTCCAAATCTTGTCAGATGTGATAGGTAAGGACACATTAACCCACACATTTTTTTGTTGTTGTGTCAGGAGCGACTTGAGAAACGGCAACTCGGCAACTCGCTTCTGGTGTGAGAGAATTGGCCGTCTGCAAGGACATTGCCCAAGAGATGCCCAGATGCTTTTTGATGTGTTATCATCCTTGTGGGAGGTTTATCTCATGTCCCCGCATGAGGAGCTGGAGCTGATAGAGGGAGCTCATCCACACTCTCCCCAGATTTGAACATGTGACCTGTCGGTCTTCAGTCCTCCTGGCACAGGGAGCCCCACCCATAGAGACCTTGGATGGTCACATCCTCAATACATCCTCAACACACACACAAAACAGCCCCCCCCCCTCCAAAGTCCTTTAGGGTGTTTAAAACATGTTATGGCACCCCCAGAACCATTTTGTGCTGAGGACAGAATGTTTCTATCAATAGGAGATAACGTCTGGTTACTTTTTGATGTAAGCAAAGTCCTCCTCTGGGCCTTAAACATGATGAAAATTGCTCTATTTGGATACACTTGGGAGTAGCAAAATTGATTCTTATTAATGCATAGGTGGCTAGGAGGAGGGGCACAAAACAGCTGTTGGGGCCTCATGTGACATGTGGAGTGCACTACGCACATTCCTGCTTTGCCCTCTCTGATAATAATAATAATAATAATAATAATAATAATAATAATAATAATAATAATAATCAACAACAACAACTTTATTTATACCCCTCCACCATCTCCCCAAAGGGAGCAGCTAACATGAGTCCAAGTCCAAAAATTACAGTACAGCAAAATAATATACACAGAAGCAAAAATATCATCAAAATAAATACATGAAATAACAAAATAAAATAAACAGTTTCAAAGTAACATAATAGAGAAACAGAAAACAGTGGACGGGCCAGATGCGCTAGGAATAAAATTGATAAAACTGATGACCCTACTCTCAACTTATCACTGCTGCACTGTTGCTGTTTATTATTCTTGGGAAAGGGAGTGTCACAATCAATTTAGACAAATCAACTTCAGTTGGTCTGGGCTCCCAAGGATGCAAAAAGAGAATGCACGCCACCTGTGCTCTTTTGTTTCTTTTTCTAACAGATACTACTTCTTCATCACCTGAATAGCATGATAAGTAGATAAGTAGAAGCAGCAGAAAGTAGATTGATAAGTAGAAGCAGCAGAAAATCTTTCTGTGGACAGTTCAGCCACTGGATGGACACTGAACTTTATGGATAGGACATTATACTCAAGCTGATCAATGTAGCAATTTGGCCTTTGTGTACACACAGAAGTACATTTGGAAGAAAAGAAGTCAATTGGGAGGAAAAATGAACACACTAAGGAGGATGCAGAAATCTTTGGTGATGCTTTAAAAGCATTCGTTCAAGGGTTACTGTGAATCTAGAAGAACTCATAGACGCATTTTGATGTTTCCACCAATGTATTTTTGCCCAAAGAACAGGTCGTCCTATGCGTTTATTTCATGTTGCAAGTGTGCCTTGAGTTTGGCTAGTGGAGCAGGGCTACCAAAAATTTCTACACCTCCTTGGCCATAGAATTGTTATCTTACTTCACAAGGTAAAATAACAACAATGCTGCAATGCTAGAGTTGCAAAGAAGGTGCAGTTGACACTGCAAAACTTTATAGTGGATTGGAGAACACATGGCCTTCAAGGTATCATTTGACTGCAGCTCCCATCAGCATTAGACAGCATAGCCAAGTATGAGGGATAATGGAAGTTGCAGTCTATCTATACCAGGGGTCCTTAAACTAAGGGCCGAGGGCCAAATATGGCCCTCCAAGGTCATTTACCTGGCCCTCGCTCAGGGTCATCCTAAGTCTGAAATGACTTGAAAGCACACAACAACAGCAACAACAATCCTATCTCATCAGGCCCACACTTCCCATTGCAATACTTATACGTTTATATTTGTTAAAATTGTTCTTCATTTTAATTATTATATTGTTTTAAGGGGTTTATTTGCATTACAAATAAGATAAGTGTAATATACATAGGAATTCATTCATGTTTTTTTCCAATTATAATCCGGCCCTCCAACAGGGCTGTGACCTGGCCCTCTGTTTAAAAAGTTTGAGGACCCCTGATCTATACCTTTTAAAAGGCGACTCATTCCTTAGCCCAATTTTACAGTGAAGTACTTCAGACTCACATGTTTGTTTGATATTCCTGTCATATCATATTCATTGATATTCATATGGTTATAATGACAGCTTATTATGTAGTCGGTCTTTGCACATAATGTATACAAATATCTATTGTTGCAGATCTTAATCATGAACATGAATATCAATACTGCTCCTTTGCACCCTGTGGGTTGTACTGCTGTCTGCAAAACAACGACGTCTACACTGCTGTTTGAAAAAGCTTTGAGTGCCACACTAAGCAGATTATAAAAATGTTTAATGTTTGTTTGTTTGCAAATAGCTATAGGAAAAGAAATCTCTGAGAGGTCTGGAAGCTAAAACGTGTGCTCGTCATCCTTCTCCTTTAAAACATGTTTCTTTTGCTTTTCAGAGAGCACAGACAAAGGGAAAAACGAGAGGATTTAAAGGATAACCTGCTTTGAGAATAAATAAAGGTTTGTAATTCTACTAATCCCCTTTGTGGATAAAAAGGGGTTTCAGACACTCACAAAATGGGAGGAACCTGCTTTTTGGATCTCTTCCTGGGAACATAAAAGTAATACTTTTAGAAAGTGGCATCCTCCTTATCAATCCCCCTATTGTCATTTAGGGGGGTGCCAAATCAGAATGCTGCAGTGACTACAGTAAATACAATGGGCAGAAGTCTCCTCCTATGTCCTTTATAAAGCCATGTATTAGTCTAAACCAGGGGTCCTCAAACTTTTTAAACAGAGGGCCAGGTCACAGTCCCTCAAACTGTTGGAGGGCTGGATTATAATTAGAAAAAAACATGAATGAATTCCTATGCACATTGCACATATCTTATTTGTAGCGCAAAAACACTTTAAAACAATACAATAATTAAAATGAAGAACATTTTTAACAAATATAAACTTATTAGTATTTCAGTGGGAAGTGGGGGCCTGCTTTTGGCTGATGAGATAGGATTGTAGTTGTTGTGTGCTTTCAAGTCATTTCAGACTTAGGTTGACCCTGAGTGAGGGCCGGGTAAATGACTTTGGAGGGCCGTATCCGGCCCCCGGGCCTTAGTTTGAGGACCCCTGGTATAGACACTTGGTTTAAAAAAAAACAACCCAAAAATCCTAGGTTGCCTTATCTGTGGGTTACCATACCACACCTTAGGGAATAATTCCCTTCTCTGAGTAGAGTGACAGAAGGCAACTGCTTAGTCTGTCCTGGGAGAACCTAAAACAGTGGTTCTCAGCCTGTGGGCTACAGCCCAGTAGTGGGCTGCGAGAACGAAAATCCAGTCCATGAACCTTCTTCCTCTTTATTTATTTTATTTCTGCTACTTTCTGCAGAGCTGACCAGCCCCACCCCTTTTGGTACTAATGTTGGAGAGTGGTTCCTGGTCAAGTAGTCCCTGTTTAAGTAGTCTCTGGTCAAGTGGGCCCTGGTCAAAGTGAGTCCTGGTCAAAGTGGGCTCTTGTCATAAAAAAAGTTTAGGAACCACTGACTCCTAAAGAAGCACCAACCCCCTCACTTCCCTCCATCCCAGAACCTTTTCTGATTTGCTGGAATGCCTGGATGGTAAAATTGTGGCATTCGACACTTCTCAACAAAAAAGCACTGAGTTAATACTGTATCTTACCTTTTATTTTTAAGAAATGGACCATTGCCTTCTCTGAGTAAAGCAATGAAAGACCTCTTTGAACGCCTGGATAGGAAAATGATGGTGG